AACACAAAAGAATATCGACGAACCTTGAGTTCCATGGTAGTAGTGATACCAAAGGTTTCGAATAACCTTTTGACCTCCAACATCCCACATGGTGAAGATAATGTTCTTATATTCAATAGTTTCTACATTGAAACCGATGGTTGGAATTGTCACTGTAGTTTCACCGAGTTTTAGTTTGTAGAGAATGGTAGTTTTGCCAGCTGCATCCAAACCCAGCAAGAGTATTCTCGATTCCTTCTTCATACTAAATATGGATTGCCATACTTTTGAAAAGTACACTCCCATCTTATTATAAATAAAATAAGAAATTCTGATGCTTTCTGCTGTTTTGAGTTCTGCTTTTATAGCTACATCTTTGAGGATTCCTATTGGTTAATAGGTAGGCTCCAACGTGGAATCAAAGATTGCCTCTACCACATAATATGAACTTTGAAAAGTACGTCATACTTACTTTTAAAGTATTATTAAGAACATCGAATTACATTTTCTATATAATTGTTCCATATTCTCGTGAATATACAATGTTTCCAACGAATCTAAATGTTCCATTATGCAGAAGTTATGCATTGTTTCAGCTAACTTTCTTTTATGATCATTGTGGGACACGTCATCGCATGGCTGCACGCCACGATTGAGAGGTGCGACCGCACGTCATCGCATGGCTGCACGCCACGATTGAGAGGTGCGACCGCACAAACAGTGACCAATCATTAACCACTGTTTGTTTAACCTAATCCTCCTTCCTGATCATGATTAAGCTTCCTGTGCGTACACTTTATCCGCAATACCCGTACTGAATAAACGTACTCCGTGCTACACGTCTGTTTCCTTTCATAGCTGAGCTATAGCTTAGCTGGTTCTGGGAGTCTAGCTAGATGTTGGAGAATTCTCCGTGCTACTCGTCTGTTTCCTTTATAGCTGGGCTATGGTTTAGCTGGTTCTGGGAGTCTAGCTAGATGTAGGAGAATCTCCCTGGTTCTGGGAGTCTAGCTAGACGTTGGAGAATCTGCCGTTCTGGGAGTCTAGCTAGATGTAGGAGAATCTGCCACAGATATAAACGCGCTCCGTGCTACACGTCTGTTTTCTTTATAGCTGAGCTATAGCTTAGCTGTTCTCTAGCTAGAGGTTGGAGAATCTGCCATAGAGATTTCTGATTCCTAGCTAGATGTTGGAGAATCTGCCATAGAAATTTCTGAGCCGGTAGCTAGATGTTTGAGAATCTGCCATGGAGATTTCTGAGTCGGTCTAGATGTAGGAGAATCTGCCAAAGAGATTTCTGAGTCAGGAGAATCTGCCATAGAGATTTCTGAATCAGTCAGGCTTTAATACAATAGCAATCCGCTACATCATACACTTGGGGAAAAGTAAATTTAAACGAGTTAAAGTGGTAATAAGCTTGACTAATTTTAAAATTTCATGCAAAATATTGTCTTCCAAAAAAATGGAAAGGTAATTAAGGCTAATTTTTATTAGGACATCTTTTCAGCCTTCTACTCCATATAAATATTATTAATACTCCACTTCCTACCTAATACAAGAAGTAAAAGAAATGGCTATTGAATTTTTTTATCGCATCAGTGAATTTTGCGTTAAAGGAGCTGGACCAGACCACACCCTTTTCTTTAGACCTTGTTGTCTGCTTCCACGTTGGGGCTTTATGCGCGTTGCATGCTCAAGTATCTATTTGCACACCTATGCTCTCATATTTCAAGGTAGCTATTTATGTCCCTATCACGATGAGAATTTTGCAGATTATGAAGCCAAGGGTTTTCAGAAGCTTTTCAGCTAATTTTACTATTATACCTAAGATGCTTGGGTTAAGCAATGAAAAAAACGGTTCTGATGTAGTTTCCGGAAGAATCAACCAAATGAAAAATAGTGTAGAGGTGGATATGAAACTGTACCAGTTTTTACGATAGCTATCATTATTCCTTTAGTTGACCTTGGTCTTTACAGGGAGGGGGGAGAGACATATAGTCGGGCCATGGTAGTTTGAAGTCAGAAGTCAATTGCCGGTTTATAAAGTTTTTTTGCCGTATGAGTTTACGTTGCCCAGGAAGCCTATCGCATAACCCAACCACGACAGTGTGTTAACGGCTAAGTTAATGAGATTTATTGATATATATCAAATGGGAGGCGTTATGATAGTTATCATTAGCCTTTTAGTTGACTTCAGGCCTCACAGAGGGGAAGGAACATCAAAGTGATAAAAGTCGAGAGGGGGGGCAGAAGAGTGTTTCAAAGATGTAAAAGAGACAGACACAAAGGTAGAAAAAGGTGAGATGAGTACTGTGAAAGTAGTCGAATATGACGTATAGTGAGGTGATGGTGGTTTGAAGTGAGAAGTCAATTGCCGGTTAATAGACTTTTTTGAAGTATGAGTATACGTTGCCCAGGGTGCACCACGTGGAGGAAAGTCTATGCCACACCCCTTATGGGATTTATACAAGTGCAAGCTTTTAGGCTCGGCACTCACTTCTTATCTTATTGCGCCGAATAGGTATTGTGATTGAAAGCCAAGCAGACGGCTGTTACTGAATTTGAAATCCCTTAACGGCTTGAAATAATGGAAGCTAAATCCTTTTGATACAATTGGTCAAAATCTATTTCCAGTGGGAAATCTCT